GAAGATGTTCCCCCAGCCGATGCTGCGCAGGTCGATCTCCTCCGTGGGTCGATACGCTGAGCCGCACAGCACCAGGACCTGCCGCGGTGGCCACCGGTGAGACCCTGTTGATGGCCCCTCCTGTCCCCTGCACGTACCAGCACTAACCACCAGCATGGCGAGGAAGGCGGCGGCCATCAGGGCGCTCTCCACGATGATGAGGTTGACGCTGCGAGGAAGGCTCTGCAGCACTGTTGTGTTGAAGCCGGGCAGTGTGCCGTGGCTCAGGGTCCCTGCCAGGGCGGGGGGGCAAACACCACACATCAACCCCCGCCGGCGATGTCCCCATGCCACCGTCCTACACCGCGCTGTCCCATGCGCTCACCGCAGTGCTTGACTCCGGAGAGCGTGTGGTTGAGCTGGTAGAGGTAGTTGTTGAGGAAGAAGAGCATGGGCATCTGAGCGCAGACGAAGCTCAGCTGCAAGAGGCAGAGCGGGGGGACGCTCAGCACCGGCCTCCCCGGTGCAGCCCCCCACCCGTGCCGTGCATCCCACCGGCGCTCACGTGGAAGCAGGAGTAGAAGACGGTCTGGAAGATGACGATGTAGGTGTTGCAGGCACCCCGCGGCACCCGCTGCTGCTCCTGGACATGCTCCTCCTTGTAGTTGACGTACTCGTAGTACCTCTGGGCCATCCTGCGTGGCACCGTGGGTCAGCCAGTGTCCCCCGTGTCCCCCATCCGCCCCCCTCCGCTGCCTACCGCGTGATGTAGTTGCCCATGGAAGCCCAGAGGGGCACGATGGCAACGCCGATGGCCACGGCGGAGGGCACCAGTGTGTAGTAGCGCTCCCAGTAGTTACTGGAGACGAAGAAGGCATAGATGCCCACTGCCAGGAACATGGCCCACTTGGTGCCGAAAAACCTGCCGGGGTGAGGAGGAGGGAAGTGTGGGCGCCCATGTCATTGTGCCATCGGGGAGCGTGCGTGCCACCGTACCTGATGAGGATGGGCGTGTAGAGCAGCGCGGCCACAGGGGTGATGTTGATGCCCATCAGCACCTTGCGGTCGATGTCCTCCAGCTGGATGTTGCTGTATTTCACCTCCCGGTACGTCTCGTCGTAATGCAGGATCAGCTGCATCTCCAGGAGGCCTGGGGGGGGGTCCAGTGGCTGTTACCCCCCGTCCCAAGCCCCCCAAACCCTGGGGAGGGGCAGGGCCGTACCCAGGT